TTTTTATTGAGTTTCTGTGCATTTCATATAATATATCTTAATCAAATTTAAGCCCCCTCCCCATCTTCCCCTCCTGTAGCTCCCCCTGCCACTCCCATGAATTTCATGCACTCTGCCATATATGTTAAGTCCTTTCCAGTCAAGCATTTGTACCCAGATGTCCTCCAGTGCAAGTTCATCCACTGGGGTTTAGTCAGCCTATCCAGAGTCTCTCCCTTAAAGCAGATCTACTCTCCCTCACCCAGAAGTATTCAGTTGCCAACAGTTCCTAGGCTAGGGTTGGGGCCTGCTCTTCCACATGGTCCCTGAGCCATGGTGGGTGAGGTTTAATATAGGAGACCTATTCAGGGACACCCACTCTTCAGTCTCTTATTCTCTAAAATTTAGCCAGTTGTGGCCATCTCTGTGCCTTGCACTCTGCTGTATGAGGATGCTTCGCTGGTGAGAGTTCAGGTAGAGAGTTCTCTCTACCCCCTGTTCCGCTATGTTCCAGGTTCCACTGTAGACTTGTCATTTAGGGTTGGGCATCTCTCAGATATATAGTCTCCGTTTCTGACCAGTTGTAGAACTCTGTAATAGCCTCCATCTATTGCAAAAAGAAACTTCTTTGATGAGTGGTATATGATATATTTGTCTGTAAATGTAAGGATACATAGTTAGCATACTGTAAGAAATTTCATTTTTCTAGAGATATGACAGAGATAGGGTTTTCTCTATGATCTCTGACCTCTCCAGCCATGTGGATTTGGCTATATTTACAGTGCCACCCACGAGTTCTCTCCCATTAAGAAGGCCTTAAGTCCAATTAGATAGTTGTTAATTATCCCTAGATAAAACTACCATTACTGCACCAATAGAGAGTTTGCTGTGCCAGTCATTGTAGTTATTAGGGTTGGCCCATTGATTTTTCTCCTTTAGCAGTTTGCTTAGTATCCTCTAGAACTATGAGAGCTAGTCTTTAGGGAGAAGGCTTCCAGGTCAGTTCCAAGTCTGTTGTCCAAAATATGTCCTGTCTTCAAGTCCTGGGAGGTAATAGAGTCATATCTTCAAGTTCTGTGGCAATATCTTGTGTTATTTTGGGAGTCTCTTGGATTACCCTGACTAACAACTTGAGGCAAAGTTTCTCCTGTCTGGCACTGTGTTCCTTGTTATATAGCCTTCGTGTATACACATGCACGTATGTTCAGATTTGTTATGTGTATTTTTCAGAGGGGTTTTGAGTTAATACATTTCCCTGTGTTTTTAATGCTACCTAAGCTTTATCTCTCCCTTCTCTCTCCCTGTCTAACCACCCTCCTCCTCCTCCTTCCCCAGTTTAAGTGCCCCTGTTTCCCCCTATTATCCCCCCTCTTGAGTTCCTTCTTCCCCCATGGTTCCTTATATGTCCTTTCCTCCTACTTTCCCAGTTGAATACCCCCATTTTCCTTATGTCCCTCTTAATAACATGTTTCCTACTATCCCCCTATTTTGGGCTCTTTCTTTCCCTTTACCTCCATGCTTCCTTTCCATTTTCTTGGCTCCTGCTGTTACATTGAAATATATACTCACATATAAGGGATTGGTGCTATGATCCGCAAATGAAGGAGAACATACATTGCTTGTTTTTCTGAGTCTGTGTTACTTCACTTAGCAAAATAGTTTCTAGTTCCATCCATTTACCTGCAAATTTCACAATTTCATCTTTTCTTATCACTGAATAGGACTCCATTGTATAAATGTACCACATTTCCATTATCCATTCATCACCTGCAGGGCATTCAGGTTGTTGCCATTCTTAGCTATTGTGAAGACAGCAGCAATAAACATGTATAGGTACCTCTACAGTAGGATGGGTCCTTTGGATATGTGCCAAAGAAGGAGTGGTATAACCCGATCATACGGTAGATTCATTTTTAGTTTTTTAAGACTTCTCCACCCTGCTTTCCATAGGGGTTACACAAGTTTGCACCAGCAGTGAATGAGCATTTCCCTTTCTCCACATCCTTGCCAGCATTTGGTTTCTTATATTTTCTTGATCTTAGCCAGTCTGATGGGGGTAAGATGGAATCTTAAAGTGGGTTTTATCTGCATTTCCTTGGTTGTTTCTTTTGCTGTATGGAAGCTTTGTAGCTGAATGAGGACCCATTTGTTGATTGTGGACTTTAATACCTAAACAACTGGTGTCTGGTTTAGAAAGTCCTTTCCTACACTTATATCTTGTAGGATACTACCTGTGTTTTCTTCTAGCAGTTTCAGAGTTTCACATTTTATATTGAAGTCTTTGGTCCATTTGGAATTGACTTTTGTGCAGAGTGAGAGATAGGGTCCAATTTCATTCTTCTATAGTGGAGATCCAGTTTTGCCAGCACCATTTGCTGAAGACACTGTCTTTCCTCCATTTTGTGTTCTTGGCACCTTTGTCAAATATCAGGTAGCTGAAATTGCATGTACTCTTCTTTAGGTCTTCTGTTGTGATCTATTGATCTATGTGTCTATTTTTGTGCAGGTACCATGCTTTTTTTTATGACTATAGCTCTGTAATATAGTTTGGAATCTGGGATGGTGATTCCCCAGCATTGCTCTTTTTGCCTAAGATTGCTTTGACTATCCAGGTCTTTTGTGATTTCATATAATTTTAGGATTTTTTTTTCTAGCCCTGTGACTAATGTCTTGGTGCTTTTGATTGGCATTGTGTTGAATCTATAGATGGTCATTTTTACAGTATTAATTCTATCAATTCATAAGCACAGTAGATCCTTCCATCTTCTGGTGTCTTCTATCTCTTTTCATTGTAGAGATCCTTAATGTTTTTGATTAGGTTTATTCCTAGATTTTTTTTTTTTAGGCTATTGTAAAATGGGAGAGTTTCCTTGAATGTTTTTTCCAATTGCTTGTTAAAGGCTACTGATTTTTGTAAGTTGATTTTGTAACCTGCCTCTTTACTGAAAGCATCAATCATTTCTTGCAGTTTTCTGGCGGAATTTTTGGGATCTCTTATATATAATATCATATCATCTGCAAATAGTGGTAATTTAATCTCTTCTTTTCCAATTAGTTCTCCTTTAATTTCCTTCTCTTGTCTCTACCAAGAGTTTCAAGCACTGTATTGAAAAGGAGTGGAGATAGTGGACAGCCTTATCTGGTTCCTAATTTTAATGAGAATGCTTCTATTTTTTTTCCATTTAAAGTAATGATGGCTGTGCTTTTATCATATATAACTTTAATTATGTTGAGGTATGTTCCTTCCAGTCAAATTTTCTCTAGAACTTTCCATTTTTTTTTCCATTTAGAGTAATGATGGCTGTGCTTTTATCATATATAACTTTAATTATGTTGAGGTATGTTCCTTCCAGTCAAATTTTCTCTAGAACTTTCCATTTTTTTTTCCATTTAGGCTGTGGGTTTGTTATATATAACTTTAATTATGTTGAGGTATGTTCCTTCCAGTCAAATTTTCTCTAGAACTTTCTATGTGAATTCATGTTGGATTTTGTCAAAGGCCTTTTCTACCTTTATTGAGGTGACCATGTGGTTTTTGTCTCTAAGTCCATTTATTACATTTATTGACTTACTTATATTGAACTGGACCTGCATCTCTGGAATAAAGCCTACTCGATCATGATGGATGATCTTTTTGATGTGTGTCTGTATGTGGTTTGTGCATATTTTGTTGAGTATCTTTGCATCTATGTTCATTAAGAATATGGATCTATAGTTTTCTTTTTTGTTGTTGTTGTTATCGTTGTGTCGTTACCTGGTTTTGGTATTAGCATGATACTGGCTTCATGGAAAGGGGTTTGGGAGTTCTCCCTCTGTTTCTATGTTTTTGAATAATTTAAGAAGTATTGGTTGTAGATCTTTAAATGTCTGGTATAATTCTGCTGTGAATCCATCTGGGCCTGGACTTTTTTTAGTCAGGAACTTTTGTATTACTGTTTCAATTTCCTTATTTGTTGTGGGTCTGTTTAAACTGTTGATCTCTTCTTGATTTAACTTTGGTTGTTTCCATGAATTTAGAAATTCATTCATTTCTTTCAGATTTTCAAATTTAGTAGAGTATAGGCTTTTAAAATATTTCCTTATAATATTCTGGATTTTCTTTTCTTTTGGTGTGTGTTGTGATGTTTCCCCTTTCATCTCTGATTTTCATTTGGATTTGCTCTTTCTTTCTTTTGGTTAACTGGGCTAAGGGTCTGTCTATCTTGTTTAACTTTTCAAAGAATCAGCTCTTAGATTCATTGATTCTTTGTATTGTTTTATTTATTTCTATTTCATTAATTTCTGCTCTAATTTTTGTTATTTCTTCTCATACTGGGTTTGGGTTTGGGTTTGGTTTGTTCTTCCCTTTCCAGAGTCTTGAGTTGAACTGCTAAGTCATTTATATGTGCTCTTTTTGGGTTTTTAATGTGGACACTTAGAATTATGAACTTCCCTCTTGGGCTGGAGAGATGGCTTTCCATTGATAGGCTTTCTTGGACTACACTGATCCACCTCCTTGTTTATACGAAGTTGCATTATCTAGAAGCCTTTGAGTCAACACTGTATTTAGTTGCCTACATTAGTGCTTGAATAACAGAGCTCTTTTTCCCTGGGAGCAGAAATCAACTTGAGAAACTGAACCAAACCAACCAGTGATTCACAAAAATGTTCAGTGTTGTAATTTTGGACTTTCACAATCCCCTCCTCTGTATTGGTTTGGCTCTTTCTTCCTTTCCTTCCCCTTCTTTTCTTCCTTGATAGGTAGTTTGCTTGATTTCACTATCTTAGGCTGGCCCCTATTTAGAAAGGAAGAGATAAAGAGAAAGAGATTCTCTGACAGTCTTGGCTGCTGCTTTTAATTTTTTAAATTAGACTTTCATCTGGAAAAACTCAGAGAATGTTTTGATAACCTTTGATCAATTGACATTCCAAAATTAGTGTCCAATCAGCATCGAAAAGCACTAAGATATACACTTAATACTTGTATTCTATAATTGTTGGTTGGTCCATTTATATTTATTTTAGCGTTTGCTTAATTGCAGGAAATCTTCACCGAACTAGCAGCGTTCCGGAGTACGTCTACAGCCTGCACTTGGTGGAGAATGATTTTGTTGAAAGGTGTTCACCCGTCACGAGGGATTATGACATGCTAAAGGTAGGGTGCCAAAGGACGTAGCCCTGTCATCTGAGTACCAGGAAAACATCTTCTAATGTCTTTAGTTTTTTTCTTTATCTGTCCTAAGGGTTCTTGTTTCCCGAATTTTGAGAACATTTGCGCGGTCACTATGGAAAAGTGGACTTTAAACCCTAGTGCAAATAAATGCGACTCGACCTTCTCCATCTGACCTGAAGAAATGGGCATCTTGGATAATAGTCCCAGAGCCCTTGTGCTTCATTTGAATGCATTTCCGTTCTGCAGGCCGGCGTGGCTGCCACTTACGGCAGTCGCTGGGGCAGAGGGACGGCGCAGTACGGCTCGCAGAAGTCGGTGGAGGAGCGGTCGCTGAGGCGGCCCTTGCGCAGACTGGAGATTTCCCCGGACGGCAGCCCCGAGCATGCTCGCTACGCGCACAGCGAGTACCCGTTCGCCTGGAGGAGCCGCGCGGCGCCCGGGGCGCGCCTCACCTTGCCACGCTACGCGCGCTCGGAAGTCCTGAGCGTCCGGCAGGCGGGCGCCGCGCGCAGGCCTCCCGGCTACGGGTCGCTCAGCGACGCGGCCTTCGTCAGCGCGGGCAGCCTGCTAGAGGAGGTGCGCGTGGGCCCCGCGGCCAAAGTCCGGCCGCAGGGTGCGCTCAGCAGGGCGGCGCGCGCCTCCTGGCCACGGAGCTCAGTGCGCAGCGCCACGCGGGACCCGGGGCGGACACTGCCCACCGCGGGCCAGGCGGCCGCGGGCGAGGACCTGCGCGTGGAACCGCTTGGGTGAGCCTCCCCGTGCCCCGACCCCAGACGGGCTCGGAAGACCGCCGGGAGTTTTCCCGAGGATGCTCAGTTGCGCCCTGAAGCCCAGCTGCCTGCTCTCTTTCCCGTTAGGGGCTTAGGCGCCTTCTGGCTGGGATCCACTCTGGTCTTGTCAGTTTACTATCTGATGTCCTCTCACTGAGCACAGTATAGAGAGGATGCTAGAGCTGCATGAACTAGAGCAGGAGAAACTAGGGAGAAGACCAAGAAATGGAGCACTTGTTAATCATCCCTGAAAAGGAACGAAAAGGCAAAAACGCCGTTTTGATGACTGTTTTCGTTCGCAGGTGATTTCTAAGTGTCTCTTTCTGTCCTTTGATTCCAGTACTTGGGATTTGGAGAGTATTTCTTTAGCAAAATTATAAATTTTTAAGTATATTTATTATTTTTATTTTATGTGTATGAGTGTATTGCCTGCACGTGTGTAAGTGCACCCATGTCCTGCAATGCCCGCAAAGGACAGAAGAAGGCGTCAGATCCCCTGGAACTGGAATAACAGCTGCACTGTGTGTGCTGGGAATCGAACCCAGGTCCTCTTCAAGAGCAGCCAGTGCTCTCCACTGCTGAGCCATTTCTCCAGCCCCAAATTATCAACTTTTAAATTCAATTAAAAGTCAGTGCCTTTCCTATTTCAGTTAGGCCTTCACTTCAGTTTGGGGAACCTAACTTAGTCAAGTTAACCAAGCACAAGTTTGGCGAACTGCAGAAGTTACAATGAGAAAGGTTTAGAAATGGATGGATGACTAAATCAGGGACTTTAAAAATAGCTTTACTAGGGAAAAACATTCATATGTGGTTGTAGTTTGGTTTTAAAGTTGCTTAGTGGTAGTTGCCAACCTTTCACCATCTTCTTAAGTGAAATTGTGCAGTACGCCCATTGGCTAAGCCAGGGCAATAAACTAATTTTAGAAAAATGTGTTGAGCTCATCTAATTTTGTAGAAGGAAATATTTTTCCTAAAATTTAGTGTGAAACTTCTCCCATTCCTTGTAGGAAGACCTTTGCCAATATGAACATATTTATAAAGAGGAAAATACATATTAGGCGATTATCTATGGAGAAAAAACATGACCGAGGCCTTTAAATGGGTAATTTAAAATGTACTGAATGCCTACTCTAGGATTTGTTAGGTGCAATTCTAGCAAAGTAACAATAATGAAACTGTTGTCCCACATCCTCTGCTCTCTGGTATTCTCTTCCTCCAGCTCTGTGCCCTCATCTTAAACAGCCCCTGTATTTCCCAGGCTCATCAACTGACTGCACTGTGGCTTCAGTCCTACCATCTCTGACAAGTGTAGGTACATCCTAAGCGGATAGGTGTCAGTCTTTGTATCAACACACATGGAATCCCCCCTCCTGGGGACCATCCTCTCCTGGTTCCGTCTTCACCCTAACTTCTAAGTTCTAGATCCACGTGTTGATACTGACAACCTCTAGGACATTCCAGGCCCAGTATATTCCACGTCAGCTCCTTCCTGCCTTCAGTCCCTATCCACTTTTTCCTGGTAAAGTCTGACCATTAGAAAGCTGAAGCCATTCTTATTTGCCCTTTGCAGTCACTGACCATCTTACCCTGGGTCTTAGATTTTTACTCTTCTGTCTCTATCATGTGGGTTTCTTTGTCTTTAGTCTTGCTCTAAGCTGTTCTCTAGGACTGTCAAAATGGTCTGAAATCTAATCGTTTCTCTTCCCAGTCTGCAACCGTTCTACGATTCCACACGTTTTAACTCGGCATGTAAGACTTAAGGAATTTACATTCAAACTACATGGAATCTCCTGTACTTCTTACCTTACTGCAAGACTTTCCCCCGTGCCCTTCCTCTTCCTCCCTTTCTTTCTCCTTCTCTCCTTCCAAGCCCCACCACCCCAGCCCTTTATTGTGTTGCTGTCTAGATACTCATAATTCTAGACTGAGCTCAGATACCACCATTTTTCTGGCAGGTCCCTTCCCAGTCTAGTTTCAGTGGCCAGACAACACTGTGTGGCTATCTCTCTCAAAGTATTATATTGTGGTTATCCATTAACTCATCTGTTACCCTACTAATCTTCTGGCTTCTTGTCAATGTTTGATTCATCTTTATATTCTTAGGACCCTAAAAGAGAGGTGGGTCTGCAGTAGGCACTGTGAAAATGTGCAGTGAGAGAGGGAGTGAATGAAAGAGGAAACTAAATAGCTCTGCTCTTTGCTTCAGTTCTGAAATCAGCACCTGTACTATATCAGAATATTCTTTAATGGACAATGTAATTTTAACAGAATATTAGATCATATTTCAAAGACTAGATGGAGTACAGTTTGGATTAAGAAATACAAAATAAAGGGTAAAAAAAATATCATCCTGAGATTCTCAAGTTCTAGAGAATGGAAATTACCTCTTTTCTGTGATTTCTGAAGGGAAAGTTTTGCCTTCTTTGGAAAGGAGAGGAAACCAGAGAATGTCCTATAATGAGGAAGACATGCCAGAGGGGCTGCACACCCATGCCTGCTGCCTTTGTTCCTTCAGCATGCTCCTGCTCACTCCAGACCCCCCATGCCCCCACACGCCCCACTGAGTTTGGTCCATGGCTTCATATTTCACCATGGCCAGACCCTGTTTTCAGACTCTGCTTTTTTATGACCACCAAAAATTCATGAATAAAGAAGTGTTCTTTCATATGTGTGGGACAGTCTTATGAAATATCTAAGTACAACTGTAAACCTACATAGTGACACAAAGTATTAAACTATGGATCTGACATTCCAGAAGAATTGGCACTCATTCAGTTACTAATGCAGCTGAAAACAGATGTTGGCATGAAGAAACTTATTACCTGCTCAGATCAGGCTAATAAGAAATGTTTAAAACAGTCATCAAGGGACTGGAGAAATGGCTCAGTGGTTAAGAGTACTGGCTGCTCTTCCAGAGGACCCTGAGTTCTGTTCCCAACACCTATATGGTAGCTAACATCCCTCTATAACTCCAATTCTAGGGATTCAGTGTCCTCTTCTGGCCTCTGTGGGCATTGCACAACATGGGTACACTTACATATATGCAGGCAGAACACTCACACAATAAATAATTTTTTTAATCACCAAGTAAAAATTTCTACATGAATTTTTCTAAAAGTAGGATTTTTTTTCCTCTTTTTGAGACGGTCTCTCTATAGCTCCAGCTGTCCTGGAACTCACTACGTAGACCAGGCTGGCTTTGAATTCACAGAGATCCACCTGCCTCTGCCTCCCAAGTACTGGGATTAAAGGCGTGCACCACCATGCCCGGCCTTAGATTTCTATAGATCTTACTGGCAAATAATTCAACAAGTGAACTTTAGACATTTTCCGTGTGCCTAGTCCTGCTATAAACCCCAGTAGAGATAAAAGTTGAGTAACATGTATGAGAGTCTAGGAGAGGAGCAGAGAAAGTAAGTAGGGCATGTTGTAGGTACTGACTCTGTGTTGTGTGGTTCAGAGACTACAAGAGCAGCGTACTCTGGGATCAGTGAGGGTAGATCCTCAGCAGATCACCAGGCAAGCTTGTGAGTGGGAGCAAGTCAGTGCAGAGAGCCAGTCATGTGGACTTTCTCCACACTTGCTTAGTACAAGTATACTAACAACAGAAAACCATACACCCTCATTTAATTATTTTCTAACATACACAAGGGAAATCTTAGAAGGAAAAGTAAGCCCAATGTTTATTTACCTTTTTAACGCAGGAATGGTTGAAATATGGCAAAGCAAAATGGTTTCAGCTATGTGCAATGAGTAGCAACCAGTGACCAGGAGCTATCCCGAGAAAGCTAATGAAGACAAGTGTTATTTTCATTGTTCGCCTGGGTCTGTTTCAGCCTACTCATGCCCCTCGTGAGAAGCGTGTCCCCTTCCTGTGCAAGGAGGGTGTTTTTCTCCTGGGAAGTTTTGACTTCATTTAAGTAGAACAGGCAAGTCAGAAGCTTCTTGACTCTCTGCTGTTTTCAAGTGCTTTTAGCCCCAGATCATCAGTGGGTGAAGGCAACAACAGATTTTGAGGTAGCACACTTGTGAGGCCTCTCCGTAGTGTGCTGTTCTTACTTATCTCCTTTTCCATTCTGGAAAAGCTTGCCGTGCCTACTTAACCATATCCTTTCCTGACGACTCACTGGAGTCAGAATGTGTGGAGCTGGACTCTGTAAACAGTAATAATACAGTTCTTGCAGCAGACCCAAGGTTTGAATTCCAGCACCCACATGGCAGCTAACAACGGACCGTAATTCCAGTCCCAGGGGATCCAATGCCCTCTTCTGACCTCCGCAGGCATTGCACAACATGGGTGCACTTACATATATGCAGTCAATATACACATACACATAAAATAAAATTAAAAAATGAAAAATTTTTTTTAAAGTTTTAAAAGAAAACAGTCTCTTGGGGCTGGAGAGATGGCTCAGTGGCTAACAACCCTGGTTATTCTTGAAGAAGACCCAGGTTCAAATCCCAGCACCCACACAGCAGCTAATAACTGTCCATAACTCCAGTTCCAGGGGATCCAGCAGTCTCTTCTGTCCTCTGTGGGCACTGCACGACATGGGTGCACTTACCTACATGCAGGCAATACGTGCATATACATAAAATAAAAATAATAAATATTTTTAAAAAAGAAAACAGTCTCCCAAGATGTCATCAGTGTTTGTGTTTTAGGAGGAATGAATTAGATGTTATTGTGTTCATAGTAAACTAACCTAGCCACCTTCCAAGCAGAAATAAAAAGGGAGAGAAAAGCATAGCTCTAGGAATCAGTTAGGAGTTATTTTACACATAGCAATTTTATTTGTCCTCTATAAATGAGCCTCTGTGGCAAACTACGTGAGACTTCATCATCACCCACAATTAGTAAAGGACAAAATTAACCCACTAAGATGGACAGCAGAGGGGCTTCTTCACAGTGGCAGAGCAAACATGATGGGTTGTATGTTACAGTGTTAAGAAAAGGCCTGGCTATGGTGGCATTTAATCATTGCCTTTCCTGACACACCAGCATGACTTATTTTACCAAAACAAAACTCTGTTTCTGGCCACCATTGTTTTCAAATGAAAAGCAGATTCTAAGCAACTCAGAAAAATCTAATGATTTTTTGAGGGGAAATTTTTTCACTGTAGGTGTGGCATTCTCAGGGTAAAGATGGTTTTTAATGTCTGTGAACAACTTTCTTTTTAATTTTATTTATATAGTTGTATTGGATTTTTAAAGTCACTTTTTGGTATAATTATTGTAATATATATTTGTCTTATAGAGTTGCACTTCTTTTAATTAATTAATTTATTTTGTGTGTATATGTTATGATCCTCTCCAACAGTACCCCAGAGCCCAGTCTAAGCAGAGCTATAGTAATTCTGCCACTATTCCTGATACTTTCTGACCCTGGGTGCTGGTGCTTATTTTGCTGAAGAAAACCTGCATGCTTCTTGACATCAGCTGAGTTACCCCTGGGAGGCAGGCTGGCAGGCAGGAGGGCACACAGGTTTCCAGTCTCACCAAATCTGTAACTGTTTGTCTAGGAATGCAGATGTGCAGATGACCCTGGAGCGAGCTGTGAACATGCTTGATGCAGACCATGTGCCGCTGGCCAGGATTTCTGCTGCAGCTACTTTTATACAACACGAGAGCTTCCAAAAATGCGAAGCACGGAAAAGGGTGAGTGTCTCCTCAGTCCACGTCAAAGCCAGTACGGTGTCACTTTATGGTGACCCTGTACCCAAACCATCCATTTATGTAAACTCTTCAAAATCTTCATCAAAGGCTAGTGATGAAGTTTCACTGAGAGAGTGCCTTCTAGCATGGATAAGGATGGGTACTGCATAAACAAGGCGTGGTGATACACAATCCTAACACTCCTGAGGATCAGAAAATCAAGGTAAATCTTGTCTACATAGTGAATTCAAGGAAAGATTGCACTACACAATAACCTGTCTCAAAAAAATTTAAATTAAAAATGTTTTTTGAAAAAATTGCAGTGAGCTGGGTGTGGTGGCACACGCCTTTAATCCCAGCACTTGGGAGGCAGAGGCAGGGGGATCCTCTGTGAGTTCGAGGCCAGCCTGGTATACAGAGTGAGTTCCAGGCAGCTGGAGCTACAGGGAGACCCTATCTCAAAAAGACCAAAAAAAAAAAATTGCTGTGAAGTTCTGTCTGTTAATATTTCACCTCATGACACTGGTGTTTTAGATACTGCTTTAAAAGACTTGTCACTACAGTACTCTTTTCCTCACATAGGTTCTTGCCCAGACCACCCTCAAGCATGGTGTATAGCACAGACTGGCCTTGTCAATAGCAGTGGGGCAGATGAGCCCAGTACTGTTATCTCTGTCCTCAGGATTTCCCACTCAGGGGCCTCCACTCAGGTGAAACTTAGTCTTGACTTCACTACATAAAAGAATCTTAAGGTGACTCAGTTTGAGGCAGAGCAGGGTTCATGAATTAGAGAATGAGTTGTCGTGCTTTAGATTTAAACCCAGTCTCTTAACAGCTATATATGTGATTTTTTTTGACTTTTTAAATTACTCTGCAGAAGGATATCCTTTACAACCAGATTCTAAGATGAAGCAGAGTTCAAAAATTAAATTTAAAAATGAAGTAGAAAATATATGAAATCCTATACTTATTTTCTTAAAATATTTCCTTTGAAAAAGAAATTGTAAAGTGGTTTATAAGTTGTATTATTCAGGTTTAGGGACAAGAGGGAGTACTGGACCTAAATGTTTTGAGCATTCTTTGACATGTCTCTAGAAAAGGGACTATTGTCTCTGAAGGTGGTTATGACTTTATCACTTGTAGCAGTTTTCTGTTGCTGTGGTAAAACACCATATCAAAGCAACTTTTATAGAAGGAAGAGTTTAGGACTGGAGTGATGGCTTGGCACTTAAGAACACTGACTATTCCTGCAGAAGACCCAGGTTCGAATCCCAGCACCCACATGGCAGCTAACAACTGTCTGTAACTCCCGTTCCAGGGGATCCGACACCCACTTCTGTCCTCTGAGTGCATTGCATGATACACATGCATACATGGACACAATATATTCATACACATAAAATTTAAAAATAATAAATAAAAAAATTTTTTAAAAGAATGAGTTTATTTGGCTTATGGTTCCAGAGAGGTAAGAGTCCATCATGGTGGGCAGGCGTGGCAAGAGGCAGTTGGAGCAGAAAACTGAGTGCACACATCTTCAAACAGGCACAGGAAGCAGAGAGAGAAACCACAGGTGGGGCAAGGCTACGAACTCTCAAAGCCCGCCCCCAGTGACTTGCTTCCTCCCATAAGGACACACCTCCTAACCTCCACAAACAGCACAGTAACTGACTGAGTACTCAAATACTTGGAGCCTATGGGGGCGCATTCCTCATTCAAACCACCACACTGTGTTAGACTGGAGTCAGGCTTCTTTCTCTTCCCAAATCACCTTAGTTTTCCCTGTCTTTCTCTTCTGCCTCAGTCATTCAAATGTTCTAAATTGGTTTTAGTTTCAAAAGCTATATTGGTATTTATATGCAGGGAAAGAGACTTTGGCTACAAATTGCTCCTTTTATGGCTAGTCAGATAATCACCTAGGTCTTTTTATTGCCAGCGTTTATAAAAACCCAGCATCGTTACCTGCTTTTCTCACTTCCCTATCCCATTTTCCCCTGTCCTTTCTTCCTTCCTTTCTTTTGAAATAAGGTTGTCTCTAATCTGGCCCCAAATTTACTATCTCCTGCCTCTGCTTCCTGAATGCTTGGCTTACAAAAATATGCTACCACATCTAGCTATTTTAATTTTTTAATTTAAAATTTTCTTTTGCTACCACAGTTGGACTGGATCTTCTTTCTCTTTTAATTTTTTATTTAACTTTTGTAAATTTTGTAATATATATATTTTTTTTTTGGTCTTTTTGAAACAGGGTCTCCCTGTGGCCCCAGCTGTCCTGGAACTCATTATGTAGACCAGGCTGGCCTTGAACTCACAGAGATTGGCCTGCCTCTGCCTCCCAAGTGCTGGGACTACAGGCATGCGCCACCATGCCCGGCTATACAATATATTTTGATCATATTTAGGTACACTCCCTTACTACCCCATGCCTAATTTCATGAACTTCTATTCATGAATATATATATATGCCTATAGAGTCAAATTTATGCCCCCAAATGCCTTTCAGTGTGGATCCATCCATTGAAGTATGGTTAACCTTCCAAGATTCTCACCCTTAAATGAGACTGTCTGTCTTCCTCTCAGCAGCCATCAGTTACCAGTAGTTCTCAGGTGGGGTCAGGATTTGTAAGCCATCTCCCCACATCCATTTTGGGATTTTCTATGGCTTGAGCTTATGTGGGAATTGTGCATGCTGTCACTCCTGTGAATTCATACAAGTAAATGACCAGCTATCTGAAAAACTCTTCTGTTTCCTTGTGGTCAGCCGCCACTTCTAACCCCTACAGTCTTTCCCCTCCTCTTCCGTGATGAGCTCTTGAGCCTTGAGAGGCAAATTTTGCTATAGGTGTTCTATTTAGGGATAAGCACTCTGTAGCCTTTTGTTCTCTCCATATTGGCAGGTTGTGGATCTCTGTGTTAGTCACCATATGCTGCATAAGGAAGCTTCTCTGGTGAGAGTTAAGAGATGCATTAATCTTTGGGTATAACAATAAGTCATTAGTGGTTTGTTTAATACTGTATCCACTTAGCAGAATATTGGGTTCTCCCCTATGTATGGCCTGTGACCTGTCTAGTCACAGGTTCCTAGGCCTGATATCAGTGTCTGGTATGGACTCCATCTTATGAAGTAGATCTTAAATCCAATTAGAGAGTGGTTGGTTGCTCCCATAATATTTGTGCCACTATTGCACTGATGAGCATATCTTGCCAGGCCAGTTGATGTTGCTCTTGGGATTCACATCTGGGTAAGGTGAACAATTACCTTTGTCTTTAGGTAGCACCTTCCAGCACTGTGAAAGCTAGCCAGTAAAGATGAGGCTTTGAAGTCAGTGTCAGCTTCATTTCTCCTTGTTTGTTGTACAGCTCATGTATGTAGTGTCTTCAGCCAGTAGGGTCTTACCATGAAGTTCTGGTGAGTAACCAAGAGCAGGGGCAATGGCCAGTAGTGTTTGAGGTTCTATGGGACCCCTGGGCAATAGCTTAAAAAGGAGTCAGTTTCTGGCATTGAGCTTTTATTTTGCTAGCCTATGGTATCTAGAAGGGGCACTGTCCCTCTGTTATAAAGTAACTCCTTTTAATCTCTCTTTTAAAAAATATTTTATTATTTTGTGTATGAGTGTATTTACATAAGTGCCTGCTTTTATATAAATGCACCCTTATCATGCAATGCCCGCAGAAGTCAAAAGAGGGCTTTAGATCCCAGGAACTGGAGTTAGGACAGTTATTAGCCACTGTGTGGGTACTGGGAACCAAACCTGGGTGCTCTGCAAGGGCAGCCAGTGCTCTCAACCACTGAGCCACCTCTCCAGTCTCTTAATCTCTCTTTAAA